GAGGAGGAGGAGGAGGAGGAGGAGGAGAAGGCGAATCTCGGTATTAGCCCTCCATCTCCGGGTTTTGGGAGATCCCGGGAGGCCCCGAATTAGCGGGAATTACCGTCCAGGCATTAGAGGGAAAAGATTCCCGGGAGGTCCCGGGAGGTGGGGCACCGGGAGATGGGGGCCTTCCTGGTAATTCGTTGTGATTGTCTTAATGTATATAATTATCTGGAAATTATCGGGAAGAGTTCCCGGGAGGTGGGGCCCCGGGAGGTCCCCGGGAGGTCCGTTAAGTTTGGACGGTAATCCCCGACCCCTTGGACGGTAATCCCCAGCAATGAAAATAATGTGGGGCGAGGGGTGGGGGAGCTCGGGTTGCTCTCCTGCAGTTGCGCCTCGCCGAGAGCCTCCTCCCGTGCCTCATCCCGTGGCTCCCCAGGGTTCCTGTTGGCCTTTGACGTCCATGGGTGCGGTTGTCCTGTAGCCTCACCCCCTCTACGTGTAATATCGGAATATAGGCTAACCATGTAGGACCGAGTATGACTGACGCCCATAATCATTAGTTGGAGTAGGCGGGAAGTATAGGGAAAGTATAAAGAATGATAGGGAAATTAGAGGGAAAGTATTGGAAGTAGGGAATTGAATTGAATTTAGATGGAAATTATAGGGAAGGTCAAACAGGGAGTTATCGGCAACTCAAAACCCCATCCCCCCTTTTGTAACACAACGGGCGCGCTCAAGCGGTGGCAGCCAGGCGAATGGATCCCGCCTGGCAGGGCTGGAGCGAGCCATCGCCCACCTGGAGGCCTGCCCCAGCCTCTGTGGTGAGGAAGACGCTTTTGTGGCTGAGCGGCTGGGGCTGACGTCAGGACCCCCTGGTCACAGCGACGGACATGGCAGTGCAGGCCCACGTCAGTGCGTCATAGGCGCGCCAGGCCTGGCCCTCCGCGGTCAAGGCCCGCGTGGAGCCCAGCCGCAGGCTCGAGCTAAGTCAGAGGCCATGGTCGGCAGTGCGTGACCCTGCGGCGGCAGCTCACGCGGGGCGGCCTCGCGGTCGAGGACGAGCTGGGCGCGGAGTTCGACGCGCGGCGCTGGCACCCCGCCCCCCTGTCAGAGCGAGCCCGCGAAGCGACCAGGAAGGCGGCTGCCGTGGAGGAGTACAGCACGAGGACCGACTTGCTTTGGGCTTGGCGGCGGCCTCCAGCGCAGTCGCCAGTCAACGACCTGCTGGGCAAGAGGGCATCGGAGATCTGGACCCGCCACCACAAGGGCTGCCTGCGCCGTTTGGTCTCGCTCCCCCAGGGCGAGGCTCGCGAGGCACAGGGCCAACATCAGCCCCGCATGCCCCCCATGCCAAGGAGGTGCAGGGACGATGTTCCACCGACGCTTCGAATGCCCAGCCTGGCTGGCCCGCAGGAGAGATCGTCTTCCAGCCGACCTGAGGGAGCGAGCCATCGTCTCTCGGAACCTCGGGGAAAAGTTCGGAGAGCCGTTCGCCCAGGGCCTCTTCGTCGACGCGACCACCCTGTTGAAGAGACCGCTGTGGCAGCCTCGCTGGGAGCGGCGCCAGATCCGACGGGAGAGCCCCATGGCGGCGCCGCCTGGCGCGCTGGTGTTCACGGACGGCCCCTGTTTCCACAGCCGCTTCCCCGCTCTCTGCAGCGCGGGCTGGGCAGTCATGGCGATGCCTCAGGAGGGCCAAGTCTCGGCGGAGGCCTGGGGGGCGGTCCCGCCGCGACAGATGCCCACCCATTCAGCGAGGGCAGGCGAAGACTTTGCGGCTGCGGTTGCGTTGAGGGAGATCATCGGGGCTTACGGAATCCTCTGCGACTGCAAGGGCACGGTGGACTTCATCGGCAACCTGCAGCGTGCTCGGGGGCCGACCTCACTGCGCGCCCACCTGCGGGCGCGGGTCGGCGACGCGATCGGCGGCACCACGGCGAGGCACATCCCAGCCCGCACCTCCGAGGATGCGGCTCGGCTCGGAGAGGTCTCGGGGAAGGAGAGAGACGGGGGCCGTCTGGCCGACCTCAGGGCCAGGATGGGGGCCGGTCTCCACGCGGCGGACGTCGGCGACCTCCTGCTCGAGGGGCTCTCGGCCCGAGCCCGCGACGCGGCCAGGCGCGCGGCGGAGGTCGAGGTCCACATCGCCGAACACGGGGCCAGAGACTGCTGGCCGACGGAGGCGCTGGAGGACCTCGATTACGGCGAGCCCAAGCGGGGGGCCAGCGAGCCCAGCGCGGCGGCGGGCGCCCCCCCGGGCGCGGCGGCCGCCGCAGTGATGGCGGCTTCGGCAGCGGCGGCGGCCTCGAGCGCTGCGGAGCGAGGAGGCGGCCCCCCTGCGCGGAAGCGCCCCGCGCCAGCGGAGTCGGCGAACGCACGCGGCCTGGGTTCGGCCTGCAGGTCAGCCGCCGCCGCGCCAGCGGCCGACAGGCGGGCGGCCGCTCGGGCCCAGTCGCCACCCGCGACGGGCGACTGCGCGGCCCGCGGCCAGCCGCCGCCGCTTGGAGTTGAGCCCTGGCAGGTCAGATGACACCAGCTGATGATGGGGCGCGTGGAGGGCGAGGACAGCGAGTTCCTGGCCTGCACCACACGCTTCATGTATGCGAGGACGCCCAAGATGTGCTGGCGAAGGCCCCGCGGTGACTGCGCAGGTGGCGCCGCCAGCAGAGCCCGCCAAGGTTCGAGAGCGCAGGCGCGCAACGGCCTTCAGCGCGGGCTGCTGCCAGGTTCCAAGCCGAAGGAGGCCTTCGGATCGCTCGTGGTGCCGACGGCGGAGGCGCGGAGCCGCTGGGCGGAGGAGCTGGGGCTGGGGGCGGGCAGCCACCTCGGCGAGCGCGTGGTCCCGCGTCCCAGTTCGGCGCAGGGCGGCGAGGATGAGCGGCCAGCCAGACGCCAGAGGACGTGCGCGTCGGCCGCCAGCGGGGGCTTGGGCGCCAGCGCAGCCGGCGGCGTCCTCATCCTGCTGCCCGCCGGGGTGCTGGCTGCAGCCTATGGGGTTGCTTCGGTGGCGGAGGCGAGGGCCCATGGGGCGGCGGCGCGCAGGTCGAGGGCTGCCGAGGCTGCCGCGGCGGCTGCCATGCGTGCGCAGCGCAGAATTTCATGAGTTCGTTACACGGGTTTTGCCCTCGAAGAGAGAAAAACATGTCTTCACCGGATGCCTTCAATTCCAAACAGGACCCCATAGTGCAATGCGCAATCAGACTAGCGGGAGCTGTGCTCATTAGAGGCGGAGGTGGCGGATGAGCAGGAGGACGAGCAGAACGACAAGAAGGAGGGAGGAGGAGGAGGAGGAGGAGGAGGAGGAGGAGGAGGAAGGAAGAGGAGGAGGACGAGGACGAACAGCAGCAGCAGGAGCTGGGGTGGAAGGGGTGGGGGAGCAGGAGGACTAGGGGAAGGTGGAGGAGGGGAAGGAGGGGGACGACAACGATGAATAAGGACCCGGATCTAGAAAGGTGGCCCGCGTTTGGGCGAGAGCGCCCTTCCGAACGACGGAAGCAACGCGCCAATCCTGAAAGGAGGCCCACGCTGCAGCGGGAGCGCCATTTTGGAAGGACCGTAGGCGCTTGGATTGGAAACGCGGGTGTAACACAAACAAAAAGCAAGACAAGCAAAACAACACGCGGCGGGGGCTCATTCACAAGGGGGCGCTTGCAATCTGCAGTTGCTGCAAACGTTTCAGACGAATGCGCACGGCGCTAACGCGACAGCCACATTGTGAAAACGAACCGTCTCCCATCCGCGAAGTGGCTGCAAGCCTTTCAAACGAATGCGTGCGGCGCTAAGGCGACAGCCGCATGTTGAAAACCACCCGCCTTCCATCCGTGAAGCTGCTGAGCAGGCCCACCTTCAGGCGACACGCCCAACCCACCTTGCGGACAAGTCTGTGGGTGCGACAGGGAGGAGCTGCTCACAAGGAGAAAGGAGGGAGGAGCAGGGGGAGGAGGAGGAGGAAAGAGGAGGGCGAGGACGAACAGCAGCAGCAGGAGCTGGAGTGGAAGGGGTGGGAGGACGAGGAGGAGGAGAAGTGGAGGAAGGGAGAAAGAGGGAGGGAGGGGGGGGGGGGGGGGGGGGGGAGGGGGGGGGGGGGGAAGAGAGGGAGGGGGCGAGCGGGGGGCGGGAAAGGACAGGGGTCGAGGGAGGGGCCGGGGGGGAGGGAGATAGTTTGGGAATCCCTCGGCAGGCGGGAGGCACACCTGGAGGAAAAGGAGAAGAGGGATGATGAGGAGGTTGGGGTGATGAGGAGGAGAGGGGAGGCCCGAGAATAGCGCGCTCCCAAGGAACCGCCTGTCATCCTCAACTGTCGCAAGCGTTTCAGACGAATATGCGCGGCGCCATAGCGAGAGCAACATTGCGAACACGGCCCGCTTTCCATCCCTGAAACTGTTGCAAGTGGTTCAAACGAATGTGCGAATGTGCGCGGCGTTCAGGCAAGAACCACAAGATAAAACCACCCGCCTTCCATCCGTGAGGCCTGTTGAAAATGTCAGGCTTCAGGCGAAACACCCAGCCCGCCCTATCGACACATCTGTGGGTGCGACAGGGAGGAGTTGTCGATAAGGTAAAAGGATGATGGAGGAGGAGGAGGAGGAGGAGGAGGAGAAAGAGGCGGAGGAGGAGGAGGCGGAGGAGGAGGCGGAGGAGGAGGAGGAGGAGGGAGGAGGCGGAGGAGAAGGAGGGCGGAGGTGGAGGCTGAGTGAGGAGGTGGGGAGGAGGAGAAAGAGGAGGAGGAGGAGGAGGAAGGAGGACGGGAGGAGGGAGGAGATGAGGAAAAACAAGAAGAAGAGAAGAAGAAGAAGATGAAGAAGAAGAAGAAGAGGAAGAATAATAATAGGAGGAGAGGAGGAGCATGAGTGAGGATGAGCATGAGAGGGGGGAGGAGGAGGAGGAGGAGGAGGAGGAGGAGGAGGAG